TGTGAACCTAGTGAATTTGCTCTAATTGTGAAAAGTTAGCTTCCTGAAGGGTTTCTGTGTGACCAGTTGTAACGTCCGTTGTGTTGAACCAGGGTATCTTCAGCCTTATCCTAAAACTATTACCTAGCTGAAGTGCTTCCCTTTCCCCTTCCTAGGCGACGAGGAACAGGTTGGAAACATGGGCAATCTCCATCACATGTCCTTAATTTGCTAGCACGTTACAACTGTTATCTCAGGGGCTTCCCAATTCAGGAATCACAACTACTTCAGTTTCGCTTTTGAGGAAATGTTGACGTGGCGATTAGGTTCGTCCAGCTACCGATAGATGTGACTGGTTCATGTTTGTTAAAACTGTATTTCTTTTACCTCCACATATAATTTCCCACGTGGATTTCCATCAGGTGCAGAGGTTTCGTCTTTAAACGAACCGCTGTTCTTTTCGTGCCAGTTTACTTTGCACACTACACTTGTGAGACAAGCTCAGTGTGGTCCACGGTTTTCAAACCCAAAACTCCGGTTCACATCTGTGTCAAGGCACCACATTCAACTCAACAATGAAACTATCTACGGTTGTCCAACCACGTGCCAGCGCACAGTGGTTCGACCACTGTTGGCCAACAAACCTGTTTCCGCTACCATTGATTACTGTTGAATGCACAACCTCCCATTTTCTACTGTATCCCTTTGAGATGTTCATAGATTTGAACTTGAGTAGTTTGTAGCATATTAAATCATGTATGCCCTCTATAAGTGCCGTATGCGTCAGCTATGAAAGTTACTGGTTTTTAGTCCTGAGTGGCTACTTCTTTAGTGGGCGCTTACCTTTTTGGGATCAGGTTAACATCAAGACAGCTACTATGTCTATCTGGACAAATACTCGCTTGGAATCTAAACGATATAGAGGGCTTGCCCTTTGTCACGAAAGTAGCTCACTAGGGTTACTAGGTGCCCGTTTCTGTTCTGCGGTGGTATGGCGAATCATATTTGGAGTTCAGTTATATGCATGAGGATCGTCAACGCACACGAGAGCAGTGTAGAGTAGCCGTCTGATAAATGAACGGTGTTTGTCACCTTCAGTCTGTGGGCTTTCCCTTCAACGTTCTCCTTATCGACAAATGATAATGCAACCTTTCGAATACCTCCATCCAATTTCAACGACAGGAAAATTCTCGGATTTGGAGGTACCATTAAGTACTTGGTTATGTTCGTGAATATACGTGATTGGGGGAATTTACGGGATTCATTTAAACAGGCATTTATTACTGGTCGATTCCAGTTATATTCAGTTTCCTGGGTTAAACAACGGCTGTTTCATTACATTATAGATGGTACGCTCAGCCTAAAAGTGCAAAAAGCCATCTGCATTGTTCGCAACCAATTTATGACAAGCAGTCAAGCGCATCGCGTTGGTAGTCATGCTTCATAGGCTGAGGGAACGTCTTCTTAGCCTGCTTAGCCAGAAAACCCAGAAAATTTACTTTCAAATTCCAATCTAAGGATGCTGTCTGACACACATTCATCTTCCCCAAATTTCTCCTTCATAAACAGTGGACTCCTGCACACCGATATTCTCGATAGTTGATTCATTTTGCTATATATTTTATCTTGGAGTTCGATGACAGTTAAATTAGCATTGTCTTAGAAGGGCTTGATAAAAATCGGTAGTTTTTGTTTACCAACGACTTCTGAAGTGATGACTTCTCAATTGGTTCCAAACCTTTTCCAATTAGTATTAGGTGTTTTAACTAAAGATTCTGGAAAAACAAGCCTGCTAAGCCAGATACTAAGCACTTTGTACCAGTCTTCTCTTTGGAACATTCTTTGTTAAATTTTTCTCCCTACAGTCAGTTTTTACTTGATGATTTGTGCACATAAAGCGAATAAATAAATACCGAAGAAACTAGTGTGACTTCAATTTATGCCGGAATATCCAAGTTTAGGATCTGTGATAATGCCCCTATTTGAAATTCGTCTGTACGTCCCGTTTGATTCCAAACCAGCTGTCAATTTTATCGCACACCAGGATTTTGTGAATGGTTTCGGAACTTCTGCATCTGAAAATGGCAGTCAGTTCAAGTTCACTCAAGTGAAAAACAGTCTTCCGCACCCATAACGCTTCAACATTTAGGGCTGTAACAATTGGCACTGAACTAACAAAAATGACTACACCAAACGTGTGTTTAAAAGGAACACGTTATCTGCACGCAAGCGCTGAGCACTTGCAGATTACATCTCACGGGAAAATGAACACGACGCAAAATCGATGAACTTGGATTGTGTACTGAATGCCAGGGTGAAATTTTGCGCTTCAAGAGCGACAGAAGCTATCTACATAAGCCATTCTTTACAGAGGCGTGATCATCCTGGGGACAGAATTTCACAGATCCAATTCATGTAATATTTACTGCCAATCCATTTCATCTGATTATTGAATCGTCTGGCAGTTGTCGTCACTAATTCTGTGTCGCCCACTTATCCATGATAAGTGAGTGATCAGGGCGTGCGTGTCGACAGTGCAAGAGGCGTTTTTCCAAGATTGCCGTTTGTCAGTGAAAATAACTGAATGCTCATCGTGTTCCTGTTGTATCATGTATCAGGCCAAACACGTCCAGTGTTCATTGTGTCAATACCCTGCATAGAATGGGTCACAAAGAGTGGTCAAATGATACGGAGTTAGACCTGCCGAAGCAAAACTCAGTGGGGCGAGGAAAGGGCACATATATTCGAGCTGTCCCTGAAATGAGTGTACAATCCGTGGTACAGTAGAATCCCTCTTTCCACACTGTCAGCATGTCCACTTGACCGAAGATCTGTGCTAGCCCAGATGACTCAATGTTCAAGGCGCGGACTTAGTGATTAGAGGGTCATTGGTTTGAACTCAACCCCGATATCCGGACCACTCCTGCCTAGGCTTGGACAGACTGACATTATCTCAGCCGTCGGGCTTCTTTTGGGTGGCAAGGCACCCAGGCACCAGAAGGATGCCACACCTGAACGAATCAAATCGGTTTTAAGGTCGTTTTCGTCCAGCATGGCTCATTTATTCTGTTCATGAATTTGCCTGCTGCACGTACCTACGGTAATTGTTCTTCGGTCTATGTTTTCGTTACCTGAGAGCTTGTTTCGTTCAAACCAATGTGAGAAGAGGAAGTTACATAAGTCGACAAAAACTTAAGAAACCCTAAATTGTGTTGAGCATTATCCTTAGCCGCTGTATAGCTTACATGACTGGCACACTGGTCCTAGTGGCCATACCACGTTCACTATATTTTGGACGAATTCATTCATTATTCACCTATTTTCCAGGCTAACCGGGACTTCAAATAATCAAATCGGGGATTTCAGTGCTTGCTAGGCCATGATTATCGTGGCTTGGCAGGGATAAACACTTATGTATTGATTTCGACTCGACCTACCTATGTTAACGAGTCAGGTTCGTTATTTTGGTCACAAATTGGTGCACACATGACTTGTCATGGCTTGTATCGAACGCGGTTGTGCAACTTTGACGCTTTACTGGAGTAGGATTCCTTTGGAGAGGTCTGTAGCTGCCAACACAAAGTGGCCTCATCTCACTGCGGGCTGACTGAACACGTTGGGACTGGGCACCTATGAAGTTTTCCACTGAGGATGTAGCAACTGCGCACCAGGTTACCGTCCGTGTCCACAGCCTTCCCGCCATGCTCAAATCATTGCTGCAAAAGCGTTTTGATGGTTGTTTTTCTCCTTCAAGTTTAGCGCGAATTCCCTCCACGTATTATGAAAACTGTTCAAACTCCAAATGGTTCGCTTCGTAATGCTCTTAGAATGATAAACGAACGCAGGATACACTGCCCGTTCACAGTTTGCTCTTCTTTTTATGACGGCTTGTGAACATGGAATAGCATAGGTATAAATCAAACAATCGAAGGCTCGTATGAAAAATCCCCGCCCGATTTGTTCCGGTAAGACCTCGTGCAGTTGGGCAGTCGTGTGAAGGCGGTCACATCCCTACTGTAAAGACTACGAAATTCCAAGCCTTTGGTGAGGCAGCTACAGACCCAGCACAAGTGCCCGTGTTTAGGCACACTAACTGACGATCGGATTTAATCCCTTAGCCAAGGGGAAAGATTCATGCCTTCTTATCCCATGGTTTTTTGTGTACTCTTACATCAAGAAGAGCTGATACTCTTCGGAATCCTAACTATAGACTCGATTGAATCTACATGGCACAATGAGGTCATCCTTCACCTGAATTTTTAAGCTCCATTTGAAGTCTGCATTTTTGTGTGTGCTGTTTTTTCCAATCTCCTGATGATCCTCTACTTTTGACTGATCCCATTAAGCCAAATTCCTTTTTTCGGGCCTTGTTTAAACAAATGGGTGTTTTATGGTACTACAGGACTACGAGAACTACGTAACCTAATCCTCAAGACTAGCCTCATACTTAGAATTCGAGGACATTTGGTCGGGTGATACATATTATAACTATCACGTTTTCGGGAATATGGGCGTAATCAATAACTACAGTCAGTTAAACTACCTTCTGTTGAGGGTGGCTTCATCACTCCTCGCTTGCAGGTAGGTCTAGCAACGTTGCATTATTCGTCTTTAATCATTACTTCGAGGCCTGCGGTCATGTGGTTTTTCACTCGTCATTGCGCGACCGTGTTCTCTTCACTCAGGTGAATCTGTACCCCGCTTGTTTGAGCGTGCTTGAACCAGCTCAGAACGTGCACGAAGGTTGCTTTGACACGCAAGTTCTACCGCCATTCTTTTGCACACTACACATTGTACAGCAGCCCGGAAGCCTGCTGGTGATTTTTCCTGCTTGTTTCAGTGTGTGTTCTACATTCCTGTGCCAAAAGTGATGGCGCTACCCCGGCTCGTGAAATACCGTGTAATAATGGAAATCAAGCATGTGGTGGTGAGTTAAATTTGATGACAGTCATTTCTCTGGTTGCTGATTTCTGCTACGATGCAAAAGCCTAAGCAGTGCATACCAACGTCAGACACAATTATAGGGTATTCGGGGTAACGAGGAAGTATCGCGAGAATCTCGCCAAATAAGGGGCATCATTTATGACTTTCCTTTGCTGACCCCATTCCTCTTCACTTGAAAGTACTCAAAGAAAGAAGAAACATTAAGTAGGATTTAGATTGTGAGTCTTGTGAAACTCAGAATTTGATGTTTGTTGGGACCAATGAGCTGCATTTTCCGATCGGGTCACGTTGCCGCCGCTACGAACTATTGGCCAGGTAATTATATAAACACGGATGATATTTGTGCAGCTGTTGGTTTGGATGTGCTGTTGACTAGCTGATAACACTGCAGTTACAGGAAACCAACATTCACCCAGAAAAATATAGTTTTTAGTCATGTCACAAACTATATCCTATAGCCTCTATCATTGATGAAAAAGCACGGACGTTAGTCCAAGCTAATGTAAGGACTCTTTGTAAACGCTTCCACCGGTAGTCACCGTGGAGGTTTTTTTACCCTATTCATGAGCACTGTAGGTCTTTGTCCTTCCGGTAATGATAACTTACGAATAAAAGCGAGGAATCACTTCAAAGCTGCTTGACCACTGTTGGGAATCTTCGGTAGCCGATGCCTCGGAAAGACCCGAAAACACGACATTAAGCATGAAAGTTCCATATCTTCCATTCAGTTGTGGGTGGCTGGTCGGCAGTCAGCTTAACCTACACTGATACAGCATTCAGTGTCACTGATGGTGCCATCATACTGTCTGCCTCATAGTATTCGGTACTGACGATTTCAAGCGTCGGGTTTCAGAGGAGAGTCTTTGTGATCTTTGAGGAATATTTGTTTGCATTAGTGAACAAATGAGATCCCTTCATAGTGAGTTTTATCGTTCCTTAATTAGGCCCTAATCAGGGTAAAATAAATGACCATTGTTGACTAATCGATTCTCAAAAACGTGTCAACAGATTTACGGCACGCAGATTATCATTTCAATGAACGATACTTTTCTTGCCTTTTTATGAAGGCACATGTTTGCTTATCAAAGGGGAACTTCCACTAAACGAAACTTCTTGCCTACCTTTGACTACCTTTGCATAAATTCCACGAAACTCTTGCTGACACAGTAAACATCTAGCATTTCTTATTCGGCTTATTCGTTTCCATTGTATACGAGCCTCTCATATTAGGATATTTGCCGGACTGAAGACTGATGGTCTCATTGACAGCAGCGGTGGTGTACTCGTCGATTGCAGCAGTTATTGTGTATTCTGTAAGTCCTTACTTTCTCAACACAGTTGGACTGATCATAATTCACGGTGACTGACTCATGTTGACCCTGTGTTTGTAAATATATGGTTGGTTGCAAAAACGATGAAAGCTGGTAACAAAAGCTGAGAATTGGAAAACAGAATCATGATCCAAAGGGTCCTGTTTTGTATCACAAGCCTACTAGTTACACCCTGCATATCACCCAAATATTTTCCCGTTATACCGACCAATATCTACTCAGATTTCGTTTTTACTTTTTCATTCACGCGCCTGGTTCCGAAGTCAACGTTTGGTTGATTTTACATCCTATTTGTTATAAGTGTAGTTATGCTTTGGATTCTTGGAACCAAATAGGTAAACTGCTGGAAATGACTGCGATACAACGCAGCCCTTGACCACCAAACGGGCTACCCACCTAGGTTTTTCGGAAGCACGACATTGCTTTGTCGTGATTTTCATGCGGAGTTGGACCAGCTGATCATAATTAAATTCACCTATGACCAGACCAGCCAAGACCGAAGAATTACTACGTTCCGAACAAAGTGCATCACACACATGCGACTTTTTTGCTTTTGATCACTCCTGACTTTAATGCAGAGGCGTCAAGAATAAATCATCGCTGTCTAGACGCAACGATTAACACAGTCTGGTTTGATGCATACGAAGTGACTGTGTTCAACACCGGTAAAGATTGATGAAGAACTTATTCTTAGGAAACAGGAGGGTGCGCGAATTTCGGGCGCTCGTAACATAAGCGAAAATACACGCTTAGAGTTTAAGCCGCCGACCTCGCGAGAGGTGTCCTACCGATAAAGCTACCGGGGGCACTTGCTTTCCGTTTGGTTCATATACCTGGGCTTCGTAGCTGATTCACTAAGGGAAGCTGTAGAGGTCAACTCATGATCCGGTTGAGGACGCATGTATAAAGGAGGGCTGCCCAGTTTGTTGTGTATGTTTTTTCCAATCAAGCTATATATATATATATATATATATATCTGGCAGAACTTGAGAGCAGCCCCCAAACACTGTTGCTTTTTGTATGACAACGAATGTAATGATTACTGTTGCATAGTTAGTAAGTTTTTAATTGCCGTTTTTGGTTCGTTCCGTCTTGCTTCTGAATTGTACTTTGATTGTTAACTGTCCTGACGAATGATGTCGAATACTCATTTAGAGCCTGCTCGTCGGCTAGGCCAAGTCTAAATTAGTTAAGTAGTCTGGTGGGTTGATCAGATACCTATGCTTGTTAAAAGGGCCTCTTATTTGATAGCCAAATGCTAAATCCGTTGAATGGTGAGGGGATTTTGTTCGCATTGTTCATTCCGTGAGTCAGTGATCTGAAATATCAGAGGTATCCCTCTTCGTTTCCTCCTGCCACGAAGTTCATCTCCTTGTTGGAGTCTTTTTTCCGACAGGTGACACTTCTTTTGTGGAACTTTAGCCACCGTAAAGTTTCAGCCAAATATGTTAATCGTTTCTGAATGCTTTTATGAGACCCTCGCACCTGAGTCTGAACTCCAGCACACACATTACTGAAATGACGAGAAACTGTAACTTTCGTGGTGCTTATGGCTAAGTAAAATATTTCAGCTAATTGTGGATTCATCTGCATTGCTGATTTACGTCTTCCTATGCACGGCAGCTTGTTAAAAATGCCGCGAGTAAATGAACTAAACACTGAGCTGTACGAAATGCAACTGACGATGTATTTGCAGGAGATTATCTCATAGGATGACGCAATCTCCAACAGTAGGCTTGTCGGCCAAGCTATCCTTAGCAGTGCTGCTCTGATGTATCTCAGAATCAACGTACATAAAATTTCCTCCTTGTTTAGCCCGAGTTAAATGAGATCTGATTTGTTTAGGCGGACTGCGTTCGTCATAAGTTTACCAAAAACGCTTTGTGGGCTCATGACCAGTTTTGCCCTTCTTGAGGCTCATCAAGCAAACGCACTCGCCAAGTTTCCGTCAAATTCACGCCCCACTTGAACCGGAATTGCACGCGATTCACTTTCAGACTAATTTGTTTTTGCGCTATCACAAATATCGTCTTAAATGAAACATGAGGCGGCCTGTGTGTGGCACATTCAGGTGAGGAATACAGTAAACGCGACATTCAGCTGGGATTCAGTTGAGTCTGCCGTCGAAAACACATTAGTTTGCAAACAAGTCTATTCTGCGAAGACTGATAGGCTTTCAGTGTTTAGCAACATTAGCTAACGCGATCATCTCCATATTGACTTCAGTGTGTTTTAGTTGTGCATTTAATTCTGCTTAGTCCTGTCGTGAACACTATATTCATTTTCAGCAATTTTCTCGTATGTTCGGCACATTCAGTGAGGAATACAGTAAACGCGACATTCAGCTGGGATTCAGTTGAGTCTGCCGTCGAAAACACATTAGTTTGCAAACAAGTCTATTCTGCGAAGACTGATAGGCTTTCAGTGTTTAGCAACATTAGCTAACGCGATCATCTCCATATTGACTTCAGTGTGTTTTAGTTGTGCATTTAATTCTGCTTAGTCCTGTCGTGAACACTATATTCATTTTCAGCAATTTTCTCGTATGTTCAGATAGAGTTGTCATTCAGTTATATTGATTAACCGCGATGTTTTTCGCCACTCGGGTGTAATTGTAACAATTCGCTTCGTATAGAGCATTCAGCTGACATTGGCGTGATCGCCTTTATATATACGAGTTCCTCTGATTGAACTTGTTTCTTGTTTTTGCACAATTGTTTATACACATCCTGGTGGGTACGCCGATCTTCCATAGATTCGTTTTAAATTCTTGGAGTGATTCCTGTCAGAAAGAATGCTTCGCGTAAACTGCTTTAAGGGATGTTGAGAACTCTTTGGTGTTTAGTTCTCGTAAACTAAGTTGCCTGTTATCCCGGCACTACATCCTTAACAATCCAATCAAAACGTGGAATTCCGACATGAAAATTGTTTGGTCTACTAATGAGAGCGGCGTGAGTGAGTAGAGTAATTACTCCGCATAAATATCTTCCTTAGAGAAAGCAAGATTTCATACAACCGATGGCCTCCCTAATAGCTTACACCACTCAAGGGCGAGACGGACCAGGTGGTTAGAGCGCGAATTTACTGACCGGAAGGTCCGTGGTTCGAACCGGACCACCGCCTCTTGACTTCCCCTGTCTAGGCTTGGGCAACCTGACAGTATCCCAGCCCTCGTGCCTCGTTCGGGTGGCACGGCAGCTAGGCACCGAAAGGGTGCAACATCTGAACGATGCCACTAAGTGATGGATACGGTGCTTCTTGCCAAACACAGTTTCAAGCAAACTGGGGGCACCTACTTTGTCAGGCCTCCAACTTGTTTTAATTTGTAACTCTTGAAATCTGCTACCAGCCTTTTTTGGTATCGCTTACTAAGACTTCGGTTCCATGATTAGCCAGGGGTAGAGGGAGCACGTCTTTTTTAAATGTCTTCGCGGCACAATTCCGAGGTAGATTAACAGTTCGGCGTGAAAGTTGGTTGGAATAACTGTATTTATCAAAATGAGTGGTTTAGACGAATGGCATAAATGGGTGCTATAGTGTCAACCAGTAGGTATTCTGAAGTTGAATGAAGTTGGCCTAGTATTTAATTTTCCACAAGACTTGACTCGTTTTTTGGCTGCTAACTAATATGGATAAAACTCAATTATCTCCAGCTTTGGAGCAAATCCCCTTCAGTTCTAACTGGTATAGGGCTAATTCCCTCTCGGTAAAAGCTAGGCCCTGTTTGTCGTCGACTATGAACCCAAAAGACAAGCACCGGTGAAAACGGAAGTGTTTCGGTGCTGGCTTCAAGGGTCCACTTTCTCTTATTTATCTTTTGACCGTGCTGGCTATTCAGTTTGTGCCATATCATGCCACAGTTACTCTACAGGAGACCATGTTCTAGAATGCAACCATTAGATACGCATATGGCTGAAGATGGCCTTTATCAATTACATTTTGGTGCGCCCGCTTGATGATAACAACGTAATGGGGCAACCACACTGTGGCTTCGTTACATCCGTTTTTGTCTAAGGGACAGTCAGGAAATTCAAATTAATGTTGAGAACTTATTTGTGAAGATCGCTATGTCATATTTAGACGGCGTGACGGTGGAAGGAAACGAAGGATAAAATTGGGAAAAAGTTTCGAAGCTAATGTCGTCAAGTTTAGAAAGGGTAGATTTCACCCGCTTAGAATCTAAATAATAAATAATACTAATTATTATAATAGTCGTCCGGTTGTGACACCATTTTTGTGCCTGGCTGCTATGCCACAGAGGGTTGAGATACATCCAGGTTGTCCAAGCATGGACAGGAGCAGTCAAGATGCAGAGGTTGGGTTCGAACCGTGGCCGTGCCTTAATGAGTTACCTCCGCTCTATTTAGAATGTGTCAACAGGTGGGTGTTTTTTCAGGTCCTGTGGAACGTTCCAGTGATGAAGGAAACTAAAGCTTAATTGGTAACTTGAACCATATTAGTTCTTCGGCGATTCTTCGGAAGAGTCGCCCGCCCGCCTTCCAAAAAAATTCAGTTAGAATGCACCTGTTGCACGAAATCCCCCCGCAACGAAGACTAGGATGTTAAGTTCTTACTGTCAGCATTGTTTATTCTGATATGACACTGATATCTGCTTGGTGGCAGCAGGCCGATCAGGGTTATTGTGTCATTATATCCATCAGTTTGGCGCACTTGGGCTACGATTTCCCATTTGTGTAATAATCACCTCTCTTTAGAGGTCACTCTTGTTTTCTGCTTCATGTTCCTCTGATCACTAAGTCCTTTCGAAAGAAAACCACGTATCGGAAGAAACCACCTTTGCTCTGTTTTAAGGGCAAAACTTTCCCACACTTTCCTTCTTTGGTGATGATACGGTCTTTCATTTCCCCTCTCGAGAGGCTACTTCAAAGCGCCTACGGAGTGCGTCATTTTTTGTGCGCTATGATCTCTTCATCTAAATAGTTTGTTGCTACAATGCCCTGCGCGGACCCAATAAAAGTTCCATTTCGACGGATGACGACGGCTAGAATTGAGAAACTGTGGTGGACGCCGAAACTGTGAAGTCGCTCAATGGTGTCACACCATACAGATCAGTGTCAATTTGTCAAATGTACAACTGTATGAACTTAACATGGTTTCAAACAGTTTAGATGTTAGATTCGATCCTTTGACTGACAGATTCCATTCCTCACAGGGTATTGTTTGTACTTATCTTCTTTCAAAGGTTGAGAACCTATAAGAAGAAACGACCTTCCAAAAGACACCAGTTTTAGTCAGGAACTCTATGCGGTGTGCTCAGAACCTGATGACCAAATGAAGCAGACCGATTTTAGTTGACCAAGCCCAAAGTAACACGTTCCTTACATACAACAGTGCTCTATCTCATATAGACCACTGAGTTAATGCAACAAATGCCTTTTTAAGGTTCTCAGTGGATGGGAATGATGCTGTAAATGGATCTTTGCGCTTCACGTCTCGAAGCCCTGAGATTAGGTTTTAACTGTTACAAGTGCCCACCTAGCCATATGGACAAGCCATAGTGTGGACCGGTTCGTAAGGTAGGGTTTCTTAACCAAGTTCTCCCTACGATGGCTATGGACGATGAAGGTAGCTTTTACCGAGGTTGTTGGTTGTAACACCGTAGGTACGCTCTTTCTACACAAGCTTAAGAATATCAGTACATTATTCGAGGTATGTGCAACATTGTTTTCTCGTTCATTGGGGGATCTACCATCTCGCAAAGAGGTTTCTTCTTCGACTTAGATCGGTTACGTCCTCTGAAGCAACTTTATTTTCCGAAATGATCACTGTATACGGAAAAATGGAAAAACGTTTTCGCTCAGGCCGGGCACCCAAATATACCGAAGCGAGTCACGGCTCGCCACTATTCTCTTCCACACCAACAGCATGAAGTAAAACGCAACTAATCCTGCATGCTTTTGATGAATGTCTTGATCACAGCTTCACAATCTGTAGATGGTCACGAGGTTTGCCTCAGCTGAAATCAACCTGCACAGAAAGAAGCCAAGAATATTGCACCATTTTTGAGTCAACAACATCACAAGTCTTACGAGTTTGGGAGGCGACCCGAAGCTCGCTGGTTGTTAAACGGTGTGTCAAATGACCACGAATGACTCATCGGAAATGTTATTACCTCGCAACTAGACAGGATCTGGTACCGCTACTCAGAATTACATGATCCTGTTTTGAGTGATGATCCTTAACATGAAAAATTTATTAACTGGCTGTCGAGCATGCAGTGACTCCATCTGTGGGATAAATATTCGACCAAGACCTCATACTCATTAAAAATTTGGGTTTCCTTAGCTGGTTATGGCTTGGCCAGACCTTGAAACGGTAAATTTGATTGGTATTTCTTTCAGACGACTCAGAGATAGCGTACCTAGTAAACAGCGGGCTGAGTTTCTCATTCAGCCTACTTCTAACCTCTTTGCCAGTTTGTCGGTGATAATTGCTAGCCACTCCCCTTCACAATATTAGCTGGAGCTCGGAACAGACGTCCACTGTCTCGGGAACTAGAAGGTTACCACTTGAAAACGTGTGAGTCATTGGAAATTCACCTCTATTGTTGCAGTCGCGATTCAGCGCAGGTGCGTACCTATTGCACCTGCATCCTCGTGCTTCACGCCCATCGATTTAAGTCAAGCGGATTTAGCCCGTTCTAGTCCTCAACGAACTTGTTGAGCCAACTCAGGTATTGTTCGTAGTTGGTGTTTCCCTGTAGACAAACTAATGCCTGCTGTTTTTCGCACAAATGTACAGCTAACAACGAATCCGTTGTGAATTTGTTTTGTGCAGACTTGAAAACATTCACATGACTTTCGACAGACGCCAGTTTTCACCTGCATGCTAACAGTTGCACACAATTCGCTGAAACGTTCTCCGATATGTCCTCCGGATTTCTCTGCTATATTTCACGTGTGCACTCCGCCTAGCCTCGTGTATTTGTTTCTGGTGTTCCATTGGTCTAGAAAATCATTTCAATGTGAGGAACCCTCAGGGGAACAACACTTTAACTGTAGAAACGTAATCGGTTCTTCAACTACATTTTGAGGTGCATATTTTCCTTACGGGCAGAGCTCTAGCAAAACCTGCTAGTTTCTTACACTGACGGACTAGCAGTTCTTCAAGGGAATATATTTGTTGATCCGATCTTTCCGGCGAAAAAAAAACACCTTGGTACATCCACCTTTAATTCAGTTGTCTTTCTCAGGATACCAAACGGTATTTCGACAGTTCTTTTGGATTCTGAGATTTGAGCCAAAATAAACCAAGTAGCGAAATATGGCACGAATGTTTAGGTAGCATTGCTGTATCAAATGTGGTTGAGAACAGACTAATAGGCATGTGGGTCCACGTTTGTTATCTGTTGCTCATTGTCGCCCAATCACAGGATCTTTACGACCAGCACCGTAGGAAAAATTAACATGTGAATAAAACGGCGGATAAATAGGAAGATTACGGTACTCCTTCGCTCGGACAGCCATCAAATTTACCAGTTCAGCCCATTTTTGATAGCGCCAAGTTTTATGAGTCTGCTCTGTGGTTTTTCAGTGATATTTCGTCCCTTTACGGTCTTGGGTGATTATGTTGAACGACTCATTTCATTCCAAAAACTGATAGGAAGTTTGCCAGGTGCTGTTAATGTCCAGGGACATAGCAATCCATTTGATTAATCAACATTCCTTCAATTATCCCCGGGGCAACGAAAGATCGGGTGAATCATGGTGAATTTTCAGAACTATCACATTGGGAGGGAAATATGACAATGGCTTGCAACAAGTGGCTCTTCATGGTTAACGATGCCATTTACATTGGTAATTATGCAAATAATCTGGCAGGTGATTCACTGTGTAAAGTTTTCTCTGTTGAAGGATTTAATCGGAACGAACATATTCCACATGGGCCCACAGGGTGACTGATTTCGGGTGCAGTGTGTACATAGTCATCATTTACACGGCTTAAAAGCTTTTTGGGTTTGAATAAAATTATCATGATATAATCGTTTAGCTGTGCCACCCTTAGGTCATACTTATCGGGCATCTCGAAGAGACTAAGAGATCTGTGTTACTGTCCGTTTGCTCAAGCAGTCGGAAAACCAGAGTTAGCCTCGATCAACGGACCCCCAGGTCAGTAGTTCTGCACACTACCGACTATACTATCTCGGTTCTTTTGGGTAGCTTTTGTACACAGTCAGAAATTCAGTATTAGGGGATCTGC